ATTACATACCAAATCAAATTTGTAGATTATGAAATGCTTTTCAATTCCAAATATATATCACAACTCGCTATATAATTTTTTCTAAGAACTGTGACTTTCTAAATAGGTGGAAAACAAGGGGTAAACTACCATCCCAGAATTGGTGCAAACAATTCCTCAAAGGAGAATTTTTTACGCATAATTCCTCAAAATTCCTGTAAATTCCTCCAAATTCCTCCAGGTACTCCATTACAAATTCCTCCAAATACCCTACCACGAACTTCTCCAAATACCCCACAAATTCCTCTAAAAAAAAAAGGAAAATTGTGAAACTTTTTGCATGTAAAGAGGAAGGTGAGAAGATTATTTTCCCAAAATTTTAAATTTTTCTAGTGGAAAACAGCAACATGAAAAATCTTCGAAATCAACCTACACAAACTAAATTAGTTGAAAATACAGCCTCCCACATTTCAAAATTTTCCTGAAAAACTAACGAAGGGAAAATTTTGAAACTTTTTGCATGTAAAAAGGAAGGTGAGAAGCTAATTTTCCCAAAATTTCAAATTTTCCCAGTGGAAAACAACAACATGAGGAATATTGGAAAACAACAACATGAGGAATATTGGAAATTAACTTACAATAACTGAATTAATTGAAAATACAGTCTCACATATTTCAAAGTTTTCCTGGAAAACTAGTGAAGGGAAAATTTTGAAACTTTTTGCATGTGAAGAGAAAGGTAAGAAGCTCATTTTCCTAAAATTTCAAATTTTTCCAATAGAAAACAGAAACATGAAAAATACAGTCTCACATATTCCAAAGTTTTCCTGGCAAACTAGTGAAAGGAAAATTTTGAATTTTTTGCATGTAAAGAGGAAGGTAAGAAGCTCATTTTCCTAAAATTTCAAATTTTTCCAGTAGAAAACAGAAATATGAAAAATCTTGGAAATCAACCTACAAAAACTGAATTGGTGGAAAATACAGTCTCACATATTTCAAAGTTTTCCTGGAAAACTAGAAAAGGGAACATTTTGAAACTTTTTGCATGTAAAGAAGAAGGCGAAAAGCTCATTTTACCAAAATTTAAAAATTTTCCAGTGGAAAACAGCAACATGAAGAATATTAGAAATCAACTTACCTACAATAACTGAATTAATTGAAAATACAGTCTCACATATTTCAAAGTTTTCCTGGAAAACTAAGTAGTGAAGGGAAAATTTTGAAACTTTTTGCATGTAAAGAGGAAGGTAAGAAGCTCATTTTCCTAAAATTTCAAATTTTTCCAGTAGAAAACAGCAACATGAAAAATCTTGGAAATCAACCTACAAAAACTGAATTAGTGGAAAATACAGTCTCACATATTCCAAAGTTCTCCTGGAAAACTAGAAAAGGAAACATTTTGAAACTTTTTGCATGTAAAGAAGAAGGTGAAAACCTCATTTTCCCAAAATTTAAAAATTTTCCAGTGGAAAACAGCAACTTGAGGAATATTGGAAATAAACTTACAATAACTGAATTAGTTGAAAATACAGTCTCACATATTTCAAAGTTTTCCTGGAAAACTAGTGAAGGGATAATTTTGAAACTTTTTGCATGTAAAGAGGAAGGTAAGAAAGCTCATTTTCCTAAAATTTCAAATTTTTCCAGTAGAAAACAGCAACATGAAAAATCTTGGAAATCAACCTTCAAAAACTGAATTAGTGGAAAATACAGTCTCACATATTTCAAAGTTCTCCTGGAAAACTAAAAAAGGAAACATTTTGAACCTTTTTGCATGTAAAGAAGAAGGTGAAGAGCTCATTTTCCCAAAATTTGAAATTTTTCCAGTGGAAAACAGCAACATGAGGAATATTGGAAATCAACTCACAATAACTGAATTAATTGAAAATACAGTCTCACATATTTCAAAGTTTTCTTGGAAAACTAGTGAAGGGATAATTTTGAAACTTTTTGCATGTAAAGAGGAAGGTAAGAAAGCTCATTTTCCTAAAATTTCAAATTTTTCCAGTAGAAAACAGAAACATGAAAAATCTTGGAAATCAACCTACAAAAAATGGATTAGTGGAAAATACAGTCTCACATATTTCAAAGTTTTCCTGGAAAACTAGGAAAGAGAAAATTTTGAAACTTTTTGCATGTAAAGAAGAAGGTGAAAAGCTCATTTTCCCAAAAATTTAAAATTTTTCCAGTAGAAAACAGCAACATGAAAAATCTTGGAATTCAACCTACAAAAACTGAATTAGTGGAAAATACAGTCTCACATATTTGAAAGTTTTCCTGGAAAACTATAAAAGGGAGAAATTTGAAACTTTTTGCATGTAAAGAGGAAGGTGAGAACATCATTTTCCCAAAATTTCAAATTTTTTCAGTTGAAAATAACAACATGAAAAATCTTGGAATTCAACCTACAAAAACTGCATTAGTGGAAAATACAGTCTCACATATTTCAAAGTTTTCCTGGAAAACTGGAAAAGGGAGAAATTTGAAACTTTTTGCATGTAAAGAGGAAGGTGAGAACATCATTTTCCCAAAATATCAAATTTTTTTAGTTGAAAATAACAACATGAAAAATTTTGGAAATCAACCTACAAAAACTATATTCATTATTCTTTTGAATTTTTTAAATTCGACAATTTTTTCTAAATTTCTCATAAATTTCTCACAAATTCTCCTAAATTCCCTATAAATTCCTCCAAATTCCCTATAAATTCCCCAAATTCTCATAAATTCGGATGAGTTCCTCCAAATTCCCCACAAATTCCTCTAAATTCCCTACAGTTTCGGTAAAGAATTGCCCTTTGGTGGAAAATATCAAAATTCGGAGTTACCTCTACAGAAGGTTTAAAGCCTTGTTCTCAGAATCTGGAAACATATCATAATTACATATCGAATCATTATCATTATGAGAAGCTCTTCAATTTAAAATATATGATGGCTCGCCATCTGATTTCTTCTAAGAACTGTGACTTTCTAAATAAGTGAAAAATATCAAAATTCAAAATCCCTCTATAGAAGGAATAAAGCCTTGTTATCTCAGAATCTAAAAACTTATCATAATTACATAGGTACAAAATCAAATTTGCAGATTATGAGATGCTCTTCAATTCATAATATATCACAACTCAATTTATGATTTCTTCTAAGAACTGTAACTTTCTGAATAAGTGGGAAATATCAAAATTCAAAGTTGCCTCTACAGAAGATTTAAGGCTTGTTATCTCAGAATCTGGAAACTTATCATAATTACATACCAAATGAAATATGCAAATTATGAGATGCTCTTCAATTAAAAATATATCACAACTAGCTATCTGATTTCTACTAAAAACTGTGACCTTCTAAATAAGTGGAAAAATATCAAAATTTCTCTATAGAAGGTTTAAAGCCTTATTATTTCCGACTCTGGAAGCTTATCATAGGTACATACTGAATCAAATTTGCAGATTATCTGATGCTCTCCAATTCAAAATACATCACAGCTCGCTATCTGATTCCTTCTAAGACTTGTGACTTTCTGAATAAGTGGAAAATATCAAATTTCAAAGTTGCCTCTACAGAAGATTTTTAAGGCTTGTTATCTCAGCAGAATCTGGAAACTAATCATGATTACATACCAAAGTAAATTTGCAGATTATGAGATGCTCTATAGTTTAAAATAAACTACTACTCATCTGATTCCTTTTGAAAATTGAGAGGTTTCGATGTGAAAAGCATTAAAATTTGAATATGTTTTCACAAGATTTGAAACCTGATACCTATCTCAGAAACTTTGTGAGCCGATAGAAGAAGATTGGGAGTACCTAGGTATCTTATAGCAAAATCTCAAACTGATTTTTGAAAACCTACGTGCTGCTTGTAATAGTTTCCCTGTCAAATCATTCAAGCATTCTGCACAAAAGTTGCTATAAATCCGAGACAATACTTGATAGGCAAATTTCAGAAAACAGTCGTACCTACTATCAGTTCTTCGGGGTTTTACCTCCAAATAAACATTATTTTGATCTAATAAACTAAACATCTCAAGTCTAAATTAACATAAAACAAACTACTCCAGCAGGTTTATTCACCTTCGAAAGCTTAAAACGAACAAAATTATTGTGCCGCTCTCCTGCTAGTAGTTATAAAAGGCACCTTACTTTCACGTCTAACATTTTGAAATGTAGATAAAATTAAGCCGAATACGGCTAATTAAGGAGTGCGAAGTTAAATTTCAGCAGTTATTTTCTTCGTTGTTAAATTTAATTATATTTAAAATTATGCTGGAGCATAAAACTTGATTAACTCAGGAACAAGTCTTTTGCAATATTGTAACGAGGCTTAAAAATCTGAATAATAATTACATATTTCCAGAAAATTTTAATTTGGTTTTTATGGTCTTTTGTGTGCATGCAAAATTTCCTAATAACCATCTTGGGCCTTCCATAAACTTTGTTAAATGCATGTTAATTAACAGTTCCGAGACGACAAAGCTATCATTAGTTACATCTCAGGAACAAACTTTAGTCAATGGTATAAGTAATGTTTTTTTGCGAAAATGAAACTGTCTTTCAATTCAATCAAATTTTCATCTTTCCACTGGACTTTCGTCCCTTTGTTCTATTTTCCAGTATCCCTCGACAGAAGATAATCCTATTAAAACGGGAGAATAATATCTGAAATTGTCATCATCGCAAGAGGGTAACATTCCCGCTTAAATGGACATTTGAATAATTTAGTAGATCTCGTTTGAATCGAGAGAGATATTTCGGGGTTTCCGTCGTTTTAAACGCGAATAGGGTTATTGTTTTGGTGTTTACGTGTTTGTTCAATAACAATAATGACTCATAATTTAATCTAACTTGAATAAGTCGTCTGGAAATATGTGTGTTTGTTCGCATTTTCACGATACAAAATCAAAAGTCAACATCTTTATCATTTGAAATACAGGATGTTACAAACTGGTGAGGGATACAAGCCTGGTTATAAAATTATTGAAAAAATCTGGGAGTCATAATTCCATCATAAAATCACAAATTTCTTACCTTAATACTGTCGTAGCAAGCCGTAACTCGACCATTTTGTACTTCAACGTTGGCTGGTGGATGTGCAAACTTGCATTCCGTATCCGGCCTGGAACATTTCTGTCTCTGGAACTCTCTGCAGACTTCCAGTTGGAGCCAGCGCGAATCTTTGCCGTTCAACAGGTTAACCATTGCCATTTTGTGTTTTTAGTAGTTAAAATTACAAATATAAAAAACGAGTTTTTGTTTTTGTGTGGACGCGATTTATCACTTGATTCGAAAAGGACGAAGAAGCGCGGCGTGACTTTTCTTTTTTTTTTGTTTCACAGAAAAATTTGTTCAAGAATCAGGTAGAATTATTGTCCATTTCGAGTAACTACGTTTCAGAATGATTAAAAATTATCACGCGATAGTAGTTGGATCACAACAACAATTAACACAAGATAGTAGTTAGGTTCTTGTAACTAAAAAATCGCACAAGCGGGTAGGCAAAAAAAGCGGAAGCGATTGTCGACTTTTAACAGGAAAAAGATCTAGCGCATTGTTGTAATAGTTCGTTTATTTTCCTGATGACGGCTCTTGGTTGGATGCTGCTGAAACGTCGTCTATCTGTAAAATCAAAACCGTCGATTTAGTTTTTTTTTTATTCCACGCTACTCGCCGGCGACTATTCAGACAACTGCCGCGAGACGACATAGAAAAGAGATGCTGTGTAGCATCTCGATAAAGCGCATTGTTGCCAGACAACCTTAGCAGCTACTTAAAAATAGGGAATAAAGGGTCAAGTATGCTAATTCTAAAACCATTACATAATCAGATACAAGTAACTTTGTATATTCTATTCTAGATAATATAGAACATATATTGGTTGTTTCAACGAAAAATAAATACATTGTTGTCCAAAACAATTAATCACCAGCAGCCTAAGGGAAAAATGATTATTGTCTTCAGTTTCATCAATTGGCGGTCAAAAAATAATGGTGTCAACGGGCCTTTTTCCACCCTCACCCAGTTGACGTTGAAGGGTACTACGCGAAGAATTTTCGAATTAATTACGCTTGGGGACCCGTAAATATTCGTTTCTCTCTTTTTGACGCCGCTCGGCCCCTCATAAATAGGATTTTCCATGTAAAAGATAAAATATTGCTGTATTAAATTCCTCTGCCTGATGCCTGGGCGGACTAAGATTTTCCTTTCTTCTCGAACATACGCTTTTCCGGCATTTTTACATAATAATTATATATTTTGATTCGGTATATTAGGCTTAATATTTCGAGTATTGAATGTCATCAGGGTATTATGATTTGGATTTTTGAAAAATGATTACAATTTGAGGTGGATTTTTTGATTGTTCAATTTTCCTGGCGTCTTTTTTTTAAATATTTCTATATCACTTAGGTGAGCTACCTTATGATTTGAATTTTTGAAAACTTTGAAAAATCATAACTTTTTTTTTATCAAAGATAGAAAGCTGAAATTTTCAGCGACTCTTATCCCTACAATCCTTGAAAAGTTTAGCTCATTTGGACTTATAGTTCTAGAAATAAAATCGTGTTAAGCAATTTAGGGCGATTTATCAATTTTTCAATTTTTCTGAGTGCCTTTTTTCATAGATTCCGGCTCCAAATCTCAGAATAATTTAGTGTATGAAGTTTGGGGGATCAAAGGACTATTAGGACACAAAATCTCAACAACAACAAAAAATTGAAATTTCATCGTTTTAGTACTGAGGTAGCTACCTTATAATTTAAATTTTGGAAAACTTTGAAAAATCATAACTTTTTTTCTATTGAAAATAGAAGGCTGAAATTTTCAGCGATTCTTATCCCCATAGTAGAGAACTACAATCCCTAAAAATTTCAGCTCATTTGGACTTATAGTTCCAGTAATAAAATCATGTTAAGCAATTTGTTGGGGTGATTTATCAATCTATATATATAAAAATGAAAGTTCTGGGGGTATCCGGTCATGCGCTTCAAAACCACTTATCCGATTACGATAAAACTTTGGTAGGTTATTATAGCCATCCCAAGGAAGGTTTGTGGATAGGTTACGCATCTCGGAAAAAGAAATTAATTTTGAATTAATTATTAATTTATTTGTAAACAAACTCATTCACATTACATAACAACTAACAACATAACCCAACTTTTTTTGACAGCATGAAACAACGTTGCCCATATTTCATTTATTTAGGCTTGCATTCAACCGACGTAACTTTATTATTTTTTGAATTTAAGAACGGCTGGACCGATCCTGAATTAATACCACGTATCTCTATATGAGGTGAATTCGATTGACCCAGATTAGATCGATTTGGGTTCAATTTAAGTGAACTTCTTCTAGATAATTTTTTTGTTGATGAGGGTGCACTGATCCAGCTTGAATCGAACACAGTGTGGTTCACTTAAATTGAACCAGATCGATCTAATCCGGTCAATCGAATCGGCTATAGAGGAGAGTGATATAGGCTATTTTTTATCCCGAAAAAAAAAGTTCGGTTGCGTAAAACTCTGATACTCTGGAACGCCTATAAACAGCCCGGGTGCTCTAGAGCAGCTCTGGAGTGCTTAAAATACGTCACTGAACCCACTGGCAAACGACTCTGATATCGGATTTAAAAAAAAATAAATTAAATAGAAAATCAACAACAAAATTTGAAATAAAGTGTATTATTTCAAAATGTATTTACACGCTGGCAACGCAGCGGGTCATTAGCTAGTTTTTAAATATTTCTGATTGTCTTTTTTCATAGAATTCGGCTCCAAATCTCAGAATAATTCAGTGTATGGAATTTGGGAGGTCTCAAAGGACCATTAAGACACAAAATATCAACAAAAAATAAATTGAAATTTCATCGTTTTAGTATTGAAGTAGCTACCCTATGATTTGGATTTTTGACAACTTCGAAAAATCATAACTTTTTCTCTATTAGAAATAAAAAGCTGAAATTTTCAGCGAATATTATTCCAGTAGAGGATTAAAATCCCTGAAAATTCTAGCTGCAAATCTCAGAATAATTTAGTGTATGGAGTTTGAGGGATTCCAAAGGACCATTAAAGACAAAATCTTAACATAAAAAAATTTGACACCTCTTATGGGTATTTGGTTTTCTGTCAAATTCAATCAAATTTTGATATTGACTTCCTGATAAAAAGTTCTAATGGGCTCGAACCAATCCTATGATTAGTTTTTGAGATACAGGTAGTTTAATGTCCAAGAAATGTACAGTAAGAATCATTGCAATTTGGCACACACTATACACACTTATCTGAAACGTGTAGCTTTTGAACTAATGAGAACACCCATAAGTTCCGCAACAATTCACTCATTTGAACTTAAATAACTTGTCACATTATGTTACTAGTTTAGTGAAGTAACATTACTAATTCCTGTTAAAATTGACTAAAAGTGGATAATCTCACAAATTTAGACTTTACATAATAAGTTATTGTACAAGTACAAATAAGTGGATTATTGCGGAACTTATTGGTGGACCTCTGCGGGACGAGCGTAGCGAGTTCCGCAGCCATCTACTCACCAATATACTGTTGAACTAATTAAGTAAGACATTCACCTGAAACGTGTAGTTTTTAAACTAATGAGAACACCCATAAGTTCCGCAACAATTCACTCATTTGTACTTGAATAACTTGTCACATTATGTTACTAGTTTAGTGAAGCAACATTACTTATTCCTGTTAAAATTGACTAAAAGTGGATAATCTCACAAATTTAGACTTTACATAATAAGTTATTGTTCAAGTACAAATAAGTGGATTATTGCGGAACTTATGGGTGGACCTCTGCGGGACGAGCGCAGCGAGTTCCGCAGTCATCTACTCACCAATATACTGTTGAACATTTCCAGTAAGACATTCACCTGAAACGTGTAGTTTTTAAACTAAGGAGAACAACTTACATTTGAATGAGTCAGGTTAGTATCGTAATTAAACAACATATTGATAAATAGATGGCTGCGGAACTCGCTGCGCTCGTCCCGCAGAGGTCCACCCATAAGTTCCGCAACAAATCACTCATTTGTACTTGAATAACTTGTCACATTATGTTACTAGTTTAGTAAAGTAACATTACTAATTTCTGTTAAAAGGCCAATTGACAAAAAGTGGATAATCTTACAAATTCTGACTTTATATAATAAGTTATTGTTCAAGTACAGGGTGTTTTTTTATATATTGACACCCCACTTACAGCCTTCACCTTTACAAGTAGATGAAAGCTGTAAATACAAAAGTTTTACAGTATTGGCTAAATTTTTAGAATCCATGGTCAGAAACAAAAATTGAATGTCAGAAATGTGAAATGTTGCATGCTTTCAGCATTTTTCAAATGGGATGTCCTATATTTGGCTCTATATTCTTGAAGAGCACAAGTTCCCGATTCCAAAACTATATAGTTAATCTGTATTTGGTTGAGCCGTGTCCATCATATTTGGTTCTAAAAATTTTAAAAATGCTATCAGAGAAACCAAGTACCTCAAATACCTGCAGCTTTCACCTGTACAGATAGAATGGTTTACAAAATCAGTATAGTAGGATAGTATTTTTACAATTTTTGAAGCCGGATATAGTCAAACTATATACTTTTGGAATCGGGGTATTGTGCTCTTCAAGAATATAGAATGAAATATAGGGCTTCCCATTTGAAAAAAGCATGCAAAATTTCACATTTCTGACATTCAATTTTTGTTTCTGACCAGGGTTTCTAAAAATTCAGCCAAAACTGTACAGCTTTCGTATTTACACCTTTCTTCTACCTGTGAAGGTAAAGGCTGTAGGTGGGGTGTCAATATATGAAAAAACACCCTGTACACATTTTATATGCACCTACCGTTGTTACAACCTAATTATACCAGGATGGACAGGTATCCTCACACTCAGGTGACAGGTAGATCTGAATGCATATAAAATGTGTACCGGGAATCATCGCAATTAGCACATACTATACTCTTTTAACATCCCTCGTATTAAGTCGAAACTCTAACCATTAGATGTGATGATTAGATTAAAACTATTATGATCACCACTGATTTATCAATCTTACATGATATTGACATTACTTGTGTGTCAATGAAGTAAAATTTTGACACATTATGGGGAATGTTAATATAAGCTGGGTTCGGCTTGCACACTCCGTGCACTCCGAGTGACTCCGTTCGCACTCCAGCTGTTGTCTGATTCGTTAAAAGGCAATACCCGAACGGCTGGAGTGCGAACGGAGTCACTCGGAGTGCACGGAGTGTGCAAGCCGAACCCAGCTTATATTAACATCCCCCATAATGTGTCAAAATTTTACTTCATTGACACACAAGTAATGTCAATATCATGTAAGATTGATAAATCAGTGGGTGTTCTCATTAGTTCAAAAGCTACACGTTTCAGAGGAGTGTCTAATTTGAACAGTTCAACAGTACCTATATTGGTGAGTAGATGGCTGCGGAACTCGTTGCGCTCGTCCCGCAAAGGTACATTCATAAGTTCCGCAATAATCCAGTTATTTGTACAGGGTGTTTTTTTATATATTGACACCCCACCTACAGCCTTTACCTGTACAGGAAGAAGAAAGGGGTAAATAAAAAAGTTGTACAG